TGTGTGTGTGTGTGTGTGTGTGTGTGTGTGTGTGTGTGTGTGTGTGTTATAGGGTGGATATGCACGTCTAGAGGAAGCTGGAGAAAAGCTGCTCGGCTAGTAACAGCAGCAACAATGGCTGTCTGCTCCTCACAAAGCCCCCAGCTCCTCGGGGGGTGGTGTGGCTCTCTGGGGCCCCTTCAGGGACAAAAAATCCAACTCGAGGCTCTGGTGTATTTCTAATCCTTACATTTGTTTAACTGGTTTTGTTTTACTTGATTTGTTGGAGCTGGTGCTGGTGAAAGGCGCCCACCACACTGTTTTTACCCCCGTGTTGTTTTATTCACGGTCCACGCTCCATTTGGTCATTTCCAAACAAAGACAAGGCAGTCTCTGAGAACAGAGAACTTCTTGGACCAGTTCAGAAACTATTTCTTTTTGTTAGAGCTCTGAGAAATTGACTTTAGTCATTTTATGATGAGAAATGACAACGTTATGACTTAAAAATAATGTTATCAGTGATCTAACAAGACGTATTAGGATGACTCTCAGATACTACCACATAAAGTCTTAGCTCAATTACTGTGAAACTGACCGAGTTATAACATTTTATTTTTTTGTCTAATCTAAGTTTGATTGGCTGTGACAGCCATCTTGAATAATGTCTCCAGAATTTAAACAGTGTTTATTTATTATTATTTATATATTTTATAGAGAATTTCCTTTAAATTTACCAATTGTTTCAGGAGATATTTTGCCAACAGACAAACACAAAAACATGATCACCCATGTTTTGCCTGTCACCAGGCAAGTCTTTCAAAGAGTTAAATGGCGTTGAATGTTTGTTAACCTCACCATAAATCCCAAAGATCTGAACTATCCCTTTAATTCTGTTAGTTCATGACACATTTCTCCTAACGGCTCTCCGACCTGGTCATGGAGGCAAAAAGCATCAAATCATTTAGAAAAACATATAATGTTATGACTTCATATTTGCCTTCAAGCAGCAACAATAAAACCAAACATTTAACGCCATTTAACTCTTTGAAAGA